AGCAGGGAGCCCGATGCGGGACTCGATCCTGGGACTCCAGGATCATGACCTGAGCCGAAGGCATTCGCTTAACCAACTGAGCCACCCAGGCGCCCGGGACGTACATTTCTTAAGGAGCTATGATGTGTCAGCACAATAGGCATGGGCAACAGGAGCAGAGGAATACGATATCATCACTCTGTACCAGGCTTACAATCTAGGTGGAAAACTCAGAGCTTACAACATGGTGTGTGATGAGAGCTATGATAGATGTTCATAAAATATTTCTCATACCCGAATAGGCTATAAACTGGGGTTTCATAGTCCCTGTAAAAACTTACATGTAGTGTGAAGTTGTCTGTATTTAATAATTTTCTTAAATACCAATATTTTACTTTTACCCAGATATTTATTTTATGTTAGAATGGATAGGGCAGGGGTGGGGAAGCATGTTACCAATTTCAAGATTTGGGGTGTGAAATTTGGATTGCTATTGCAGAAGAACAACTTCTTTTGGAATCTATTATTAAAATTTCAGAAAATAAAGCTCATCGTGTAACAGCAAGCCTCAAATAGGTCTAACAAGATATCCCAACTGTAATCTGAATTTGAGTTGAAAGTTAACTTAATCCACCAGGGTTGGAAGGATCACTGGTCTCCCTTTGAAGTCAATGAATATGCCAGCAGATACAGCTCAGCCCCTGCCAGAATGTCCAGTTGTTCTGCCAATGAGGACCCAGAAAAATGAACCCAGTGTATCATGCTTTACCAAGAAGTCTATTAAGCTAAAAAAAAGCCTATAAGAAGAATAAGCTGAAAAACATTTAGTGTAGATTTGTTGGTATATAAAGGGTACTTCTGTTCTTGACATTTGATATTTTTCAAATAGTATGTGTTGATTGCATCAAGCCTGGGGCAGGAAGGCGAGACAGAGGCAAGATGAGCCAGATCAGATGGGAGATAAAAGAAAGACCTGCCAAGGTGTGGCAGGTGATCTGGAGGGCAACAAATGACTGGCGGTCCAGGCTGCAGGTATTGTTACCAGAGACTCAGCAGCAGGCAGGAGAATTCAGGCGATGCACAGGAGGGCCCAAACACAAGGCAGAGTCCCAAGCAGAAACCGGCTACCAGAAGTTAGGACTTAGTCACTAGGAGCAAGGCAGGTTAGAAGAACGCAACACTAGAAGGATTGATTGAGTTAACAACCTCCTAACCAATTCCAGTTTCTGAAAACTGGTTGGTCATAGAACCTGGCAGGACTGAGAAGGCAAACGTGTGCTCAGTCGCCTAGAGGTGGAGTTTTGAAGGATTCAGAGCAGGAAGCCAGGCTGCCTGTTAAGCTCAACTGGCTTCAGTTAGAAAATTTCCCTTGTATTTGTTTATTGACTGTTCTCTTTCACCCATTAAAACAGTAGTCCTCAACCTTAGCTGTACATGAGAATCATGCCAGGAACTTTTTTTGAAAATACTGACTCCGCCCAGACTCCACTGCAGACCAATTATATCAGAATCTCCAGGACTGAGCATAGGTTCATTTTTGTTTGTTTGTTTAGCCGCTTGGGTAATTCTAGCATGAAACCAGGGTTGTGAACTTTGCTTTACACTGTGGGCTCCTTCAAAACAGGAACTGTGTGTCTTTTCTCCCTGTATGCGAGGGCCTAGTACCTGGTATGTGGTAGTCATTTATTAAATGAAAAAAATAATGGATGACTACCATGTTTTGGCCAATGAGTATGACTCTTTTATAGCCACAGTGTGTAAACTTAACTCTAGATATTTTGTAATGGAGGCCATGATGTGGGTACCAAAGTGGTAGGTCAGCCAGCAGTTTTGGTCTTAAACATAGAGGAGCTAAATATCACATGTGTCTGATGACATTAATTCAATTCTATCTGCTTCTCTTCTGTCCCACTCTCCAGTTTTTTAAACATTGCACGAGCACACACACACACACACCATGGAAAAGCACAAATAATTAAAGCTTGTAAAAACAATCTATTAATGCTGATGTAAGAGACTAAATTATGTGAGAAAAATTTGCATATCAGATTATGAAATATATAGGAATATGAACAGTTTACTGTGATTTCATTTTAGCTTTCAAATTTTATTTTTTTTAAATCATTTTTTGGAGAGGAGGGACAGTTAATTTCCAAATCATTCGTTTTAGCCCTGCGCTGTACCTTAACTCATTCACATACTGGGTGTGGTGGCACACCTGAAGGGACCATTGAAATGCCATTCCACACAATCTGGTATCCCCCTGTGTCCATATCAAGGATTTGTGTAGGGTAGGGTTGAGGTAGCAGACTCAAGACAACTCTTCTTCAATCCTTTTTAGACCAAAATAATCTCATTCAGTTTTCTATAGCCAAATCTCCTGTGTTCTTACCTGAATTCTTCATGTTCTTGAGCAGATTCAAAGGTCGTTTTTGAGAAAATCTAAGTCCTGACAGATTGTGCTCCAATTTTCCAACCTAACTCTGTGGGAGAGTGGGATGGCCTTTCATCCAGATGAGAACATCCATAGGGAAGCCTTGACTTTGACAGCAGAATAGCAAATTTACTGCCTGCCAGTTAAGTATCTAAGCCATTTTGATCATACATTAATCAGCTTTAGAGAATATAGCTCTTCAGATATTTATGAGTTCAACCATGAAGTGACAGTAGCTCTGTGCTTGGCAAAAACTCAAATAGGCCGTGGGACATTCTAAAAGGAAAATTTGAGGATGTTGTAACTACACCTTTCTTGACTCTGACACTGCACTAGGTCCATCTACACAGGCATGGTTCAGGGGATTAGCCTGGGCCTATTAGAAATGCTGGCATTATGTTAACTAACTAGAATTTAAATAAAAACTTGAAACCAGACAAAAAGAAACAAAAATGCTGGCATTATATTTGCTCTTGTTTTTTTCTAGAGTATTTATAAAAAGAATCATCCATTTGAATATCATACATCTTTCTAAAAATTGCTATAGAATTTTTTGCCCATTATATTTTAAGAACTCCTTTATTTACGGAATTCCACTATTGAACTTCCTCTTAGATTTTAATATGTGGAAAAGTTAGCCCTTCCAGTTGAACATAGTTACTTCCTTCATCATACAAAGAGGAATATATAAGCCAACATGTCCTTCCTTTTCAGATACAAGAAACTCTGAGCTCATTTTTAAGTTGTTTAATCTGCTTTGAATTTTCCAAGAGATGTCTTTTTGTCCTCATATTTATTCTTTGTTGTCCCATATAATTTCTTTAAAGTATTTTCCCAAAATGCTATTTTCTCTGTAAACCCAGAACACAGGAAGAGTCTACCTTTTTTCCGAAGGCCATCTCAATTCAATCTCCCATTAGAGTAAGATTGTAAAATATTTGGCTTATAAATATCTTTATTCAAAGAACTATGTTAATAAATTAATTAAAACTAAATAGTAGTAGAAAGCTTTGAATTTGAAAAGCATTGAAAGATTGGATGGTATCAGCATCATAATCAATGTGACAAATAAGGACAAGCTATAAGTTGTTGCATTGATCATTTTAAGACAATAACCTTGTTTTCTGTTTACACAGTGATATTTTTAAACTTCCCTGCAGTTACTTTGACTAAACACTGTATTCTAATGAGAATTGTTGCAGAGCTCAAGAAATAGGCTTACATAACTGGTATTTGAAATATTTGCAGTGAATTTGATTTTTCAAAAGCTTGAGATTATGATTACTTTTAGAGTGATTCTTTGAACCAGTTGACACATTACTGATTTGTCATGGAAGAGACCAAGCTTTGGAATCTGAGTGTAAAATTAAGGAGGAAACCCACTGTGATTATAATATTTTCTTGTCGATACTTTTATTTCATCTTGACTGTTTATCAAAATATTGGTGTTATACATAAGCTTTAATTAGACAAGTTCAAATAAGGTAAACATTGCAATTCTAAGCTGACATTTTTATTTTAAATCTGTTTTTTCAATCCAGTCCCTTGCACATGTAAATATGTATGGAAAATATGGAAGACAAAATCCCAGCCCTTTTAGATTTTATTTTTTTTATTTTTTAAAGATTTTATTTATTTATTTGACAGAGAGACACAGCGAGAGAGGGAACACAAGCAGGGGGAGTGGGAGAGAGAGAAGCAGGCTTCCCGCAGAGCAGGGAGCCAGACATGGGGCTCGATCCCAGGACCCTGGGATCATGACCTGAGCCGAAGGCAGACGCTTAACAACTGAGCCACCCAGGCGCCCCCCCTTTTAGATTTTAATCTTATTGTTGATAAATTAAACACCAGTGCAACTTTTTGAAAAATGAAAATCCAATCAAATGCAAGTTTTAGTGAGTATTTGATTTTTAAACATTAAGTGCCAAATATAGTTTTATTTTTTATTTTTCCTTTTATTTATATAAATCTCAACCAATAGCACTCACTATCACCACAATTATGTATGCATTGCAGCTGGGCCAGACACCAACCCTGCCCACACCGAGCTGCAGACACAGAGCTGCCACTGCATGTAGGTACATGCAGTCCACACAGAGGGTGCCCCTTGATCATCCAGCTCTGGCAGTCAGAGGAGATTGCACTGCTGCATTCCACATGACATTTTCTACACTCCTTCAAGACTGGGAGATGTAGCTGATTTGCCTAATACATGGAAACAAACACAGAGAGTCAGGAAAAAATGAAATGACAGAAGAATATGTACCAAGTAAAAGAAAAAGAGAAAATATCAGAAAAAGACATTAATGAACTGGAGATAAGCATCTACTTGATACAGAGTTTAAGGTAATGATCATAAAGATGTTCACTGAACTCAGGTTAAGAATGGGTTAACAGTGAGATCCTCAACAAAGAGACAGAAAATATAAGAAAGTTCCAAATAGAAGTGACAAAGCTGAAGAATACAATAACTGAACTGAAAAATACACTAGAGGGATTCAACAGCAGACCGGATAAAGCCAAAGATCAGATCAATGAGCTGGAACAAAGCAATAGAACTGACGCAGAGAGGGGCACCTGGGTGGCTCAGTTAGTAGAGCATCCAACTCTTGGTTTCAGCTCAGGTCATGATCTCGTGGATCATGGTATTGAGCCCTGGATGGGCTCTGCACTCAGAGGGGAGTCTGCTTGAAGATTCCCCCCGCCCCTCCCCCACTCATGTGCACACGCACACACACACCCTCTCTCTCTAATAAATAAATAAATCTTAAAAAAAAGAAAAAAGAATTCACCCAGAGTAGTAAAAAGAAAAAAGAATTTAAAAATATGAACATAACTTAAGGGATCTCTGAGAGAACATCAAAAGGAATAACATTTGCAATCCTGGGGTGCCAGAAGGAGAAGAGAGAGAGAAAGGGCTATAAAATTTTTGAAGAAATATGGCTGAAAACTTTCCTAATCTGAGGAGGGAAACAGACATACAGTTTCAGGAATCCCAGAGAGTTCCAAATAAAATGAACCTAAAGAGATTCACACTAAGACACATAATAATTAGAAGGGTAAAAGTTAAAGGGAGAATCTTAAAAGCAGCAAGAGCAAAGCAACTTACTATGTACAAGGGAAACCCCATAAGGCTATCAACAGATTTTTCAGCAGAAACTTTGCAACTCAGAAGAGAGTGGCATAACATACTCAAAAGTGCTAAAAGGAAAAAACTCCCAACCAAGAATTTTCTACCTGGCAATGTTATCATTCAGAATTGAAGGAGAGATTAAGAGTTTTCCAGATAAGCAAAAGCTAAAGGCATTCATTACCACTAAACTGGCCTTACAAGAAATGTTAAAGAGGCTTCTTTAAACAAAAAAGAAATGGCACTAATTAATAATCAGAAAATATAAGAAAGTAAAAATCTCACTGGAAAAGGTAAATACATAAAGATAGTGGATCAATTCCTTATAAAGCAAGTATGAAGGTTAAATGACAGAAAAAAGTAAAATAAATTTAAAACCACAATAATTAATTAAGGGATGCATAAATAAAAAGATGCAAAATGTGACATCAAAAATAAAAATGTGTGGGTGAGAGGAAAATGTACAGTTTTGGATGTGTTCAAATTTAAGCTGCTATCCCATCGAAAAAAACCCTGAAATCTTGCCATTTGCAATGACGTGGATGGAACTAGAGGGTATTATGCTAAGCGAAATAAGTCAATCAGAGAAAGACAAGTATCATATGATCTCACTGATAATGAGGAATTCTTAATCTCAGGAAACAAACTGAGGGTTGCTGGAGTGATGGGGGTGGG